CATGTACTCTCACGGGCTACATCATTTCTCTCTCTCATACTCATGCCGCTCTCTTAATGCGGTGTACATGCGGGACTACTCTACCCATTACTCACGAGTTCCCCATCGCACAACCTACTCTATTCTCTTTTCTCTCTTTACTATTAGAGTTGCTTATTCTCAACATTCTCTACTCTTTCTCAAACTACTACTCAAAGTGTAGCTTATACTCAAAAGTCTCTACTCTATCTCAAGCTATTATTCAAGGCACAACTTATGCACATGGGTGATTTAAACTCATTAATGCAATTAGGAAATGCCAATATGCAATGTTGCAAGAATTAAGGTTAACTATTCATACTCATACCTCTCTTAGGCATTTCATCAGATAACTCATGTGCATAAAAAAAAACTCTACTATAATTACTACTCTACTTCATTCTCTAGCCATCCAAAATGGGAGAAAACTCCCTCATATAACCATAATCCCTGTCAAAGAAAGCACTTCCAAATAGGTTTACACAACATCTCCCAAAACTTCATCTCAATTCCACTTCTTAATACACATTAAAACACTTCTCATACATGAAGTGTATCCAACAACCACAAAATAGCTACTCATCTCAACTCAATTTCTCATCAAGCATACTACAAACTTATACATGTACAATCTCTACTCAAAAGCTTATTTAAACATCAACTTGGTTGGATTTACTTACCTTGTGAAAAAGTGACTTCTCTAGTACTTTTCCTTTCCCTTGTTGTCTTGTCTTCTCTCTACAACTCAAAACAACAACAAGAACAATAACAATCATATTAGACTTCATTATAACTATAAGCAAACTCACATCTAAAGCAAGAATCCTTACCTTAGGATGCTTTAGATGAAATCTCTACTCAAAATTACTCAAAAGCTCTCTTAAACTCCTTAGAAGTCTTGGGAAAATTGAAAGGAAGTAGAGAATGAGAATGGCAGTGGAAATGGATGAAAATGAAGCGTTTATTTCACTTAACCCTTTTTAGCTCATATTATAACCTTCCTTTCCCATTTTGCCCTTGCTCTTTCTTGGAAATTCTATTTATATCCTTTGATTCATTTCACTCACACCCCCACACTAACCTATTCTCCATGAAATTTCCTTACATTTTACTCACAATTTTTCCTGCTAATTAAGGGTAGAATGGTCATTGTGCCCCAAAAGAAAGAATTCTCTAGAAACTCATTAAACTTTTCAACTGGCTCGTCGCCACGGCGAAGAAACTGCCATCGCCCTGGCGAAAAGGTAAAGAGCCGACACCGCCTTACTCAAGCCAATGTCGCCGCGGCGAAGACTATTCTTCGCCCTGGCGAAGACTGAAATTCTAAGATTCCTCAAAAGTCAATCAATTTCTAGGCAAACACTCAACCAACTCAACATACAAACTCAATTAAAACTGAATCAATGAACATTTAAGCAATACAACAAATCTTGAATACGTACCTCAAGTGGGGTGTTACACTTGTTCAAGAGTTTTACGCCAATTTTGGCCTTGATAATGCTGAACCAAACTCTAATGTGCATAATGATAGAGTTTACGTTAGAGGACATTGGGTTCTGTTCAATGAAGAGATTGTTAGGGATGATCTAAGTCTGTAAAAGAGTAAGAAGAATTTTGATTTGACCAATTTAGAATTAGACAAAATTGTTCAGGTTATAACTTGTGGTTTAATTGCAATTGGCCTAGAAGTGGAGTTTTTTAGCCTGGTGTACTCACAGTCTTTTACAGGCTGTTATTTAAGATTTCATTAACAAACTGGTCTCCTTTGATGCATAATTCCATGGTTAGACCAGAAAGAGCTCAACTTTTATATGGGATTGCACAAGGGAAGAAAATCAACTTAGCTACACTGATTTTCACAAGTGTTAGGTGGCTGCACAATCCACTCATTCTCTCCAAAATTTACCCTTTCCTTCCCTGATTTACAAAATCATATCCACCTACAAGCCCAAATTTTATGATATGGAACCCTTGTTGAAGATAAAGACTATTACCAAGAAGTCTTTTCGTCAACCATCAAGGAACATTCCTTCCGCCTCCTTGGGTGAACACTCAAGGACTAACACTTGACAGTCCAAGCTTTTTGTTGCTATGTAGGATTTGGAGACTTCCATGGAGACTGTTCTCCAATATGTGAAGGAAATTCATCTTCCTTCAGTGCTCGGATGGATAAAATAGAGGCTGAAATGAAGAAGAAGAAAAAAAGAAACCTATTTCCCTTGTTCAGACTAAACCTGCTGCTAATCAAAATGAGGTTCCTTCTGTTGCTCCTATTGTTCCTATTGCCCCTACTACCCTGCTGCTCTTGCTGTGTCTGTTGAGAATCCTGTAGTTGTCATTCAAGAAGAAGAAACTACTCATGAAGAAGAAGAAGAACATGCTCATGAAGAAGAAGAAGAACCTGAAAATGTAGTTACTCAAGACAAGGCACAACACTTGAAGAAAATGATGCTTCTCATGTGCGCACTGAAGATGTCCTTCTTTCATTAGTCAAAAAGAAAACCCCTTTAGTCCAAGATGAAGCTGCTAGCACTTCCTCTCCTCTGCTACTGTTCCAAATGTTCAAGTGGAGGACTCTCATGTCACCATCACTACTCCTTCTAAGAAAAGAGTGAAAAGAAAGCTCATCGCACATCGCTACCCTCTCGGAAGTCTTCAAGAATTATGAACAAAGAGGGGGAGTTAGCATTATGGGGGAGTGAAGTTAAAAAAAAATTATGTTTTGTTTATTGCTAAACTTTGAACTGCTTTGCTGTTGTCTCTCCATGGGGGAGTTTGTTATTTTTTTGCTGTTTTTGTTATGTTTCTGTAGAACATTTTTAGTTATTTTATCTTGATGTTTTATTGGCTAACCTTGTGTTCATACTTGTGTTGTTTTTGGTTCTTTTTGTTTGTATGTTTGTTCTTGCAAATCTACAGGTTTGATTGCTTGATTGAAACAGTTTGCACTAAATCTCTTTTGTTATGTTCTTTGTTCATAAGTTTGACAAAAAGGGAGAATGTGAAATACTCATATTTGTCAAACTTATGAATTAAGTGTGCACAACGGTTATGTGTGCACACTTGTTGCCAACCTTATGATTTGGCTTGTTTCCTTTGTCGTATGTGTGCACATCAGTTCTGCATGCACACTAGTTGCCAGACTTGTGTCTTGGCTGATTTCTTTTCAAGTGTGTGTGCACAATAGTTCGTGCTTACACTCTCGCTTTAGACATTTGCAACCAGCACGAGTTGCATGTCTGATAAATGGAAAAGATATTGTTTATCTTTGTCTCTTAATTTTTAGGAACTTTTAACATGTGTCATAGTATCCTTAAGTGGTCCTAGGGAATAAAGTTTCATTTCCCCGATTTGTTTTGTGGTCCAAACCAAAAGGAATACTTTCCTTATTTGGACAAACATGGGCCAGCCCTTTGTTGGCTGACGTGACACATATGTGTTGAGCAAGAAACCCTACGTTATATATCATCTCATATTGTGTCTTTGAATCTAACCTTTTGATCTTTTGTTTCATTGTACTCTCAAATTTCTTAGAGTATTCTTTCTCTTAAGGTTCAAAGGTTCATTTCTATTGTGTGCCAAAACCTCACCACATCATTCATTGACTTAATGGCTCTTGAAACTTGGTTCCTTTGCTGATGCTGATGCTGATGCGTGGTGTCAATGTTTGAAGCTTGGTGGTTCACAAGCTATTCTCGGGTGTGTTCCCAGCATGAAGGAAGTCCAAGGAGTTGCTACACATTAAGGATTCAGAGTGTGGTGCTAAGTGTAAATTTGAACAGGGAGTTCTTTTTATTGTATCTTAGATCAACTTTGAACATTATCTTATAATGTGTTTTTAACTTAGTGAATTGCTTCGATCTGGACAAGGTCCCATGGATGTAGGCTAAAAGTGGATTTAGCCGAACCAAGTATATGATGGTGTGCTTTACATTTACAGCTTGTTATTGTTTGTGATTCGTTTTAACTTGACTTGCTTAATCAACTTGGTAATATTTCCGTTGCACTTAAAATGGGTAACCATATACTAAAGTGAGTTAACGAACAACTCTCTCCCCAACAAAAAGAAATGTCATGCTTAAGTAGTCTAGTTCACAAAATTTCCTTCAATCATGGTTCATCAAAAGTATAAAGTAAATAAGTGAGGATTCAACATATATTATACCAATAGGCCCCCTCACATCAAACTTCAATTTTTTTTTTTTTTTTCATTTTCTTTATCCAATTTGTATGTGAGGATTCAAACTGAAACATTTGACTCTGATACCATATTAAGTTGTCATCCCATTTAAAAGCTTAAACTTGTAGTTGATGACTCAACGACATATATTATACCAATACTTTTAAAGCCTTATTTCTAGGGTCTAAATGTTAGAATTATTAGGTTCATAGCCCACCCTTCCCATTGTTGGGATTCTTTGGGTCTTGTGCTTATAAGAGCAACTAATATAGGCATGGTTTGGGTCTTGCGCTTATAAGATCGAATAAACTGCATGTGAATGAACAGCTTGCAAATAAACAACTCTAATTCCCTAATAGAGAAGTCTTTTTGATACGCCAATAAAATAATCCAAACTTCTACGGTATGTTCCAGAACTATACTTGCACAAAGGCATCCTTCAAAACCTCCCAATGAAGTCCTGAAATTGTTAATAGGAAAAGGACATGGAAACTCCTTGAATTTCTCCTCCACTAAATCGAAGTAAATTATTTGTTCAAATATATCTTCATGTGGACTCCCTCTTGGCCTCAACCAATGTGGAGCTCCGTTCACAAGTGTTATTCCTGGTTAATTGAATAAATACCAATATGGGAAATCAAAATTTTCTAGTTTTTGTGTCCAGGAATTTGTCTTTAGATTATATACATAACCATATACTGAATCATCATTTATTTGAGTAAAAACTATTACCACTTGGTAGTTATTAATGGATGAATCATAACACAGCCCAATAACACGATAGTCCTTATCATCATGAAATTTAGAAGAATAACACCAAAAACTCCAATGTGGAATCATCTTGAGCTCTCGTTGCTGGATTCCATATCACGAATCCTGATCGATTATTCTTCATGACACTCCGATCCTTGTCAAGACGTACTAATATTTTGGCTTGACTGAATCCGTTAGCTTCCACTATCATTGAAGAAAGATCACCAGATGATCCACTACCGTCAAGGCTATATACAGAAATACGATGAGAGTGTTTTGATTCAATGACTCCATATCTGCGAGACCTTTTAGACGTTTTATTGAGGTGTGTTATGGCAAGTTTGTGGTTTGATATTAAAGAAAGCCATGATTTGCTAACACACTTGAATCGCAATAAAGATTTTACTGGAAGCCTTAGAAGAATATCTCGTACAAGATCATCCGGAAGGTACAGCGACGGCGCCTGCATCTTCTTCTGTGGTGCTAGATGGGGTTAATTGCAGGGTTTTTTTGTTTTTCCTCATTATCTTTAGGGGATATTTTGTTTAAGCTAATAGTTTAACGCAATTAAATTAATTATTAATTTAAGACAATATGAATCAATTTTTTACTTTATTCTTTTTGTAATTTTTATTTTGCATTTCAAAGACACATTAATACAAAATAATAACACAATAAAAGTGGCATAAATGATTAACTAAAATTTGAGAACACATCTCAGTGACTTTCCATCAAGGAGCAGCTGAAAGGCTTCATTGATCTTCTCAAATGGGAGCTCATGAGTTATGAATTCATCTAAATTCAAAACCTGTACATTATACACAAGTGAATTGCATGTATATATAATAAAGTTGGAAAAAAAAAAAAAAATCAGACACATATAAAAATTTACTGACCCCATTGATGCACTGTTGGGCAAGATGAGGAAGCTGAGACTTCCCTTTAAAGTCTCCAAAAACAGTTCCGATGATTTTTCGACCATCGAACAACTCCATTGGATGAAGAGGAAGCATTCTTGGATTCGGATGAATTCCTAACAAAACAGTCGATCCCCAACCCTGTCCCATGATATGCCAATTATTATTACTCTAATACCATTATTTTCTGATATACCATGAGTCGATATTTATGTCATATCTAATATTTTTTTCTATTTCATTTATTTTGATCTCAAATATCATTGATGGATATTAAATTTAATACATGGGTGGTGTGTCTATGTTAGTTTATAGGTAAAGATTGGTTCACAATCTAATTTTATAAAATTTTTTTCACAATCTCAACGTAACAGTTCGCAATTGGTTAATTTATAATTAGTCAAACCTAATTACAAAATAATTAATTATGAATTGCCACGTCAGAATTATAAAAGAAAATACATGAGGTTGAGTTATATATATAGTTTTCCCGTTAGTTTATAGTATCATCAACGTACTATCGTGATATTATATACAATCACATATATGTTTTAAAATTTGAACTTACGTCATGGGTGGACAAAAAGGATTCTCGGAGAACATCCACATTTCCTGCACATTCAAAACTGTAATCTACACCTCCTCCTGTCATTTCTCTGATTTTCTGCACCCACATTAAATTAATTGGTTTTGAACCCACAAAAAATTATAATATAAAAGCATTTTTATTTTTTATAAAATGACTGCAAGTAAAAGTTTTTTACTAACAAGATTAGGTCATATAAGTAAATATTGTATCTTTTTATTTATTTTCTTATTTTATACTTTTATATCTTTAAGATTGAAATGAAAAAAAAAAAGATATCAAATCATAATGTAGGATATTAATAACTCATAATATTAGTATTGCTCTTATATATTATTAAATGTCACAATGAATAACATAAATAGTTCAAAAATCGACTATTAGCATAAGATGAGATCAATGAATTAAAGTAGTTTCTTATTATATATTAGAGAAAAATATTATGCATTAAATAATATCTATATTTTAATTTTTTGTTATTATATAAGATTACAAAATCACAAAATTTTCAAATAGCAATTTCCCCTCTTTTAAGTATCCAAAATAATTTTTATTAGTATAATAATTTTTATTATTAAACACAAACCTCATGCACTGGCGTTCCAAGATCCTTCGGATTTATAAAATCTGTGACCCCCATTTTTTTTCCTGTTTGCACAGTAAGAGACGTATATCATAACCATAATAACGTATAAATTCACGGTACAAACTCATTTATACAAAATAAGGTATTTTAATATAATTGGATAAATTTAAATTAGAGAATTTAGGCAAATTAAAGTTTATAATACCTCAAACATAACAAGTTATAATGAATAATTTGTATATCTAACCTTACTCTTTTAATGGTAATAAAAAAAGTTGATTTAAAAAAAAAAATATACTACATGAAATAATTTTAAAATGAAATAAAAAGTCCGATTTGATTTCAATACTACGATGTCTCAAAAGCACTTAAAACAGAGGCAAAGAGTAGTTCCTTGTGAAACATAAACCATTAATTATATTCACAATATAGCATGAAATAGAATGAAATATTACCTTTTATGAACTTTTCGGAGTTGATGTCAACTCCTATTATGTGGATGCTCTCTTACTCGTGATCCTTCAGCAACCTGGAGGAAATTTTTTAAATTCAATTCAAATAACTCAATTGAAAGAACTCTACAATATCGATATCTGAACTTGAGAAATCATTAAATTAACTTAAAATTAAGAAAATTATGTTTTCCTAGTATTGCCTGATTTTTTCTTAAATTATTTAAAATCAGAACTCTAAACCCTAAACTTACAGCAAGTCCGAGAGCCCCCAATCGAAAATTGCTACGTAGAACCAGCTTGCACGTTAGCACAATTCCATGCAGTCCAACTCCTTATCAACATCACAAATCAATTTTTATTCAATTATACGAAAATTCTGAAAAATAGACATTTACATTGTTTAATTCAGATTTTTTTTTTGGCGTCAACAAATACTAAAAAAAAAAAAAAAAAAAAAAATTCATGCGGTTTGAATAGAAAAAATTATTTTCAACAATTTGTCTCTAGTAATATTTACTTAACGTTAGTAAATCGTTAACTGACATAATAAACGCGATCTTTTCTTACGGTAGAAATACAGCAGCTTAACAAGCTCATCTTCTTGAGAGAAGCGTCGGGGCAATCTTGGCAGCACATCCAGCATCAATACGGTGTACTCTGGAAAGTGGAGGTGTTGAGAAAATGATAAATTGGTTTTCCATCCATGGTCGAAAACCTACACTTTCCATCGTTCACCATCACAGATTTCATCGGATTTACGCGTAAGTCTCACACAAATTAGTCTTCTACTTTTGCAATACACGCAGTTCCCACACTCTCCATTGAAGATTGGAATTACATGGTCACTTTCTCAAGTCTGTCACACCTTCACCAACGCTCTCTTATCCTGGACCACACCAAATTACGTTGTATTAATTCAAGTTTGGTCTCACGGTTAAGTGTTAGGTAGAATTGGTGTACACATTATCTGTATGTACATCAGGGAACTTGACAAACGAGAAAACTAAATAATCCAAAAAGAGGAAAAAAAAAAAAAAAAAAAAAACCTCAATTGGATGTCATGAGTTTTATCCCTCGAAAAGAAAAGACTAATCTGATTACATCATTAATGGCTTTTACAATATTTTTTCTTAGATGTACGTATAGATGATGTTATACGTATAATCTACCAGCAGCTTCATGGCCTAAAAATCGAGGAAATGCTCGCTGAGCTTCATTCTACAACAAAAATTTAACTTCGTTAAATTATATACAAAAATCTTTCTTGTTTTAATTCACAATATGTTGCATTTTTAAACCGTTCCTTTCCAGATATCGATATCAGTATGACAGATGAGCTGTACAGACTTCATTCTAACCTCCATTTTCTTAGGAGGATCAACTTTGATTCTTCCACGACAAGAGGCTCTCAGGACCTCGTGCCACAGCCGCTGCACACACCAGTCAATCTGTAAATATAACACTTCTTGCGAAAAAACTCTCGCATACCAAATGATATAGAGATATAACCAGTTACAATCCTCGTCGAGTAATACTGTTTAACTGTATCAATATCGTAGAATGACCAGTTTCAATGAAGAGAAAAGATAAATTCTTACCCTTGCAAGTTATCACCTCTCCGTTGTCTCCGTGTGATAATCTTCTGAGTTTGAGTGCCTAGAGTCGATGTTAAGCTTCTTGTAAAGGTTCTTATCTTCCGTCATGTGAGGCAAACATGGTTGTTTTGGTTTCTCACCTACGGATTTATAGAAGTTAAGCAGTGAAGACGTCAAAAGAAAAAATAGAGTGTTTTGTTTGGTCTCTTACTCTACGGTTTATAGAAGTTAAGCAGAGTGCAGAAGAAGAAGATGTCAAATTAAGTTCTAAAATGGGGCTGCATTCTTGATAATTATTGACTTGTTTATGCTGTAATGTTTTTGTTAATTTGTTACGCTATAATACTGTTGTTACCCTTAACAAAATTGATTGCTAATTAATAGATAAAATAATAATACAAAAAATCAAATACAATTAACTTGGAAGAAACAAATTAAACATAATAAAGCTTTGTCGGTGTTTTCGGTGAGCATTTATAGGCTAACCTCTTAAGAAACTAAATTTTATAGAAGTAAACGATTTTTTCCCACCCAAGGATTGCCTAATTGATATTTCTCACCCAAAAAGTTTTAAAATACCACTTTTTCACCCAGGTTTCTAGGGTGAGCAGGGTAGCGGGGTAGAATCGGAACCGGGGGTAAGAACCGGAACCAGAACCAGAACCTACCCGAAACCTGCACTGTGCGGGTAGGTTCCGGTTCCAATTTTTTGGAACCGCTACTATGCGGTTCCGGTTCGGTTCTTGCATGTGGAGGAAACGGAACCGGAACCGAAACCATAAAAGGGTACCCTGTTGGAACCTGTAGGGGGTGACCCGGTTTGGAACCTGTTTGGAACCTGTTTGGACCTGTTTTGGAACCTGTAGATCCGTTTTGGAACCTGTTTAGAATCTATTTGGAACCTGGACTATAATGAATATTGTGGAAATGTAAAATAAGGGGGAGTTTCTATTATTTACATATAAAAAATTTAAAATAGAAAAGTTAAATTTAAATTTTTAGAATAACCTAATAAATAAATACGAATACAATTACTTATTACATATAATTACACCATATTAAAAGCTTTAATATTATAATACATTAATATAAAGTTTTGATTAATTAAGTGAATAATTGAAATTATGATCCAATTAAAAGTGCTTACATTTTATGTTATTAAAAGAATTATTTTGAATAAAATAGTATTTGATTGAGTAAATATATAGTTATTTACTTCAATTATCAAGTTCTAAGTATATCTATAATAAATTAGTAATTATAATTATATATGATAAATGATAAATATTAATAAATTTAATACTAGTTAAATATCATACTTAATCAATTT